GCTAGCCAAATGGCCTGCGCAGGCACTGAGTAATAACGAGAGTAAAATTTGGAAGGAAATAGCAGAACTCATACTCATGAGGGAATGGGAACTGTCAATCCCTTCGCATGTCTGGCTCTGTTTCCTAATCAAGTCATACTGCAACAGGCAGCCCAAATCCAGAATAGGGGGAAGCATCCTGGCAGCATGGAACAAACTGAGGCCTGACCTTTTGACCGAACCAACAACTAAAGCCCAAATCCTTAACCAGATCCTGTTTGAAAATCAACATATCAAGACAGGGGTAGACACAGTCCTCATGGCAGATGGCGGGCTGGGCACTTTCGGCCGCGCATGGGTAGAAAAAGGAGTTATCCAAATCAGGGATATCTGGGACCCACAGGAAGGAGACTGGCTCTCCCTAGAACAACTTAGGAGGAAGTTGCCAGCAATTTCCTCAAAGTGAAATCGGCCATCCCCCCTCACGGGATCGCTGCACTAAAACCAGACAGAGAACACCCCTCAGGGTCCTGGCTTGTGGATCCGCAACAGTCGGAAGTCTGCTGGAAGGTCCTGGGCCCAGATCTAGGCCCAGGGATGAAGGTCCAGAAGTGGAGAGTGTTGAACACGCGAAGAAACACCTCCCCCCTGCTATACATAGGGGACGAAATAGTCCCAACCACTCTAGAGTGGAAAGAGGTGAGAGTCCACGAGAATCAAGCCCATAAAAAGCTAACTTGTTCCCTCCTCCCACTATCCCTGGAGTCACTGAGAGTAGAACCGCTCCTGTATGGGTGGGACGAGGGCAAAACTCAGGCAAACCCTACCCCCCTGATACGGTACAAACCTAAGTGTGGGGTGAACGTTCTTCGAGTTCGAATCAAGAAGAAACCTGCAGACACTGCCGGGAAGCGACTCGCAGATACTCAATGCACAGAACTGGCCCCAGCGGACCTGGCCAACCTGTGGAAAGCACTGAAGAAGATGCCATCCCAGAAGACGGCTGCCATTCTGTGGCTCCAATCCCTTCAAGTTACAGCAACTGCAGTATGGCTGAAATCCAAAGGCATGGAAATCAATGATACATGCGCCAGGTGTGACTGGGCATGGGAGACATCCCCCCACCTGTGGCGATACTGCCCAGAATCCCAGGATGTCTGGGAATGGTGGAAGGAGAGGTGGAGAAGCCTAGATCTCAGCTTGGACCTCTGGACGGACTCATTCATTCTGCATGGAAAATTCGTCAAACTGGGCCCCCTTACATCAGGTATAAACTACATTGTACTAATATGCAGAGGGATCATCATGGAAAATATCTGGTAGAGAAGGAATGAGCTCCTGTTCAAAGGTGAGAGACACCACCAACAGCAGATGTTCAACAGAGTCCTCTCTGAGCTCCGTATCACTATCCTCTCAGATTGGCGTTCCAAGGGATTCCTCTGGTTCAACAAGACATGGGCTTACGAAGGGAAATTTGGTACAATCTCAACAGAAGATAAGCTGATATTGGCGGATTGGCTTTCGCCGACAGTGACTCCCCGGTGACATACAAGACCCCAGGGACCGGTCCCTGTCACGAGCAGCATACAGAGGGCAGCCTACTCCGATACAGGCCATGGGTGGCCGTTTCTCTTAGTTGTCTGTTTCCTTTGTTCCTGTTTTATCCTTTGTTCCTGTTTTATCTTTCCTTGTCCAGTTTATAACCTTTTTCGAAAGGAATGCATCTTGGGACGCTGGACCCGGTTTCCAGCCTAGCCTAAGCTGGCTAATGGCCCCAGTTTTCCTCCGGGTTGAAATGTCGAGGTTTTCCCGGCCTCATTTGGAGTTTTGAGTATAATACAATGCTATCCTAAAAAAAAAAAAAAAAAAAAAAAAAAAAAACAGGGGGGGTGGGGTCTGGCTGGGCTAGGCGAGGATAGTGCACGTACAGAGCACGGGGGAGCTCTCGTACAGGGGGAGGGAGGAAACAGTTAGCGCACGAGGAGGGAGGAGTCAGTTAGCGCACGAACTTGAAGGGAGGAGTCAATTAGAGCACGAAGGGGGAGGTACGTCAGCCAGCGCACGGACGTGGATGTGAGCGGGCGTGCGGAGTGCACACGAAGAGAGTTGAGGAGGGGCCACGACAGGTAAACTAGAGAGAGAGAGAGAGAGAGAGAGAGAGAGAGAGAGAGAGAGAGAGAGAGAGAGAGAGAGAAAGATGCTTACCTCCGTGTGAATCTTCCCACCAAAGATTACTGTACCTTTCCATGTTCTAGCGGAAGATTCATTCTCATTTAGCACATTCGGGGAGGGGAGATGGAGTAGGTGCACGTGGTTGTCGCGCTGCTCGTCGTCAAGTTTGCGACTGGGTTTTCTTCCTCACCTATAACTCTTGGACGTGTCCACGATGCTGTTCCCCGCAGCTTGATTATCACTTCAAATGAACCTGGCCGTGCAAACGACCAGGTGCGCTCGTACGTCGAGGATTATTGCGGGGTACGAGAGAGAGGGTGAGTGGGAGAGAGAGAGGGGAAAAGGTGGGAGAAGGAGCACGATCACGGCCATCTATGGCATCATAGTGACTTCGTTGTCGACGCAACCATGGTGATGCTGATCGTTGGAATCGGAGTCTTCGCCGCTGCCTTCGCCGTTCGGTTTGTTTCCTCGACGGGATCGCGCATGCTCGGGACCGGGGCGCTAGCTAGCTAGAGGACAACAGGTGCGTGCGTACCAGAGAGAGCGAAAGAGAGAGAGAGAGGGGGAGAGAGAGGGAGAGGGAGAAGCCGCGCAGTTCCCCACTCCGGACAGAGCTCCGTTTTCATACGTACCTGACCGCCGTGGCGGCTAGATACATTCAAGAAAGGGCTGATGACGAAACGGGCGCGCGAGCGTACGAAAGAGAGAGAGAGAGAGGGATTACTACACTCGCGCAGAGTCTTGCTGTGTATCAGGCGGCGTGTGTACAGCAACCCACTATGTTATGCTGGCACGGCCGATCGTGGCTCGCGTTGGCCTGAAACCATCCAAGCGCCAACCCACGAGTGATAACTAGAACATATCCCAGTTCTTTTGCATAATTCACGGGGCGTGTGTGTATGTGGGTGTGCGTGTGTGTGTGTATGAGAGAGAGAGAGAGAGAGAGAGAGAGAGAGAAGCCGCACCGAAACAGCGACAGCTCTCCGCTCCGGATGGAGTTTTTTTTTTATATGTATCCGACTGACGTAGCGCCCAGATACATCCAAGATAGTGCTGTTGAGATCGGGCACGCTGGAGCTGGCAAGAGCCGGAGGTGGCGACGAGAAAGAGAGTGTGTGTTTGTGTGTGTGTGTGTGTGTGTGTGTGTGTGTGTGTGTGTGTGTGTGTGTGTGTGTGAGAGAGAGAGAGAGAGAGAAGCCGCACCGAAACAGCGGCAGCTCTCCGCTCCGGATGGAGTTTTTTTTGTTTTTTTTTATGTATCCGACTGACGTAGCGCCCAGATACATCCAAGATAGTGCTGTTGAGATGGGGCACGCTGGAGCTGGCAAGAGCCGGAGGTGGCCACGAGAGAGAGAGAGAGAGAGAGAGAGAGAGAGAGAGAGAGAGAGAGAGAGACGACAGAGAGAGCGGAAGAAACTGACGACCTCGCCACACTATTGTCGGAAGGAGAAAACTTCGAGTGCATCCTTCATAGAGAGTGGCCAGATGCGTCGGTTGATTGTTTATGGGAGCGGATGCATCTTGCCGCTCTTCGCGTGAACGAGCATTCCTACTGCTTTTTTTTTTTTTTTTTTTTTGTCACGCCGTTCTCATAGTAGCTGAGGTGGCTTGCCATTCCTTGCTTGAACATGCTCCCTGATAGGGGCTCGGAGGACAGTAAGTCTTCGTTGAGTCTTGTGTGCGTCTTCCTTCAGTATACTATGGGTGCATCTTGCCACTCTTTGCGTGGACATGCATTCATACTGTTTTTCGTCCATATTCGTTAAGTTGTTCTCCAAGCTTACTTGATAGGCGCTCGGGTGCATCCCTCTTCGGTATATTTTTCCGTTATGATGGGTGGGCCTCACCCAAGAGATCTGGTTTGGTTCATTTCATTTCACGGCGTGAATTTGAACACAGGAGAGTGTGGCGGCCAGTTCTTGATAAAAAGAGAGAGAGGTAGGAAATGGGAGAGAGAGAGAGTCGCGGCAACGCGGATGTTATGCTGGTGAAGATCCACTGTGGCAAACTTCCTTTTTGGTTCTTTTGCGAGTTCCTTGTGTTACGTGTATCTGGCCCAGTCCCTGCAAATGGTGCATCTCGACTGTTGAGTTGAGCGTAGTGGCCGTTTGCAGAAAAGAGAGAGAGAGAGAGAGAGAGAGAGAGAGAGAGAGAGAGAGAGAGAGAGAGAGAGAGAGAGAGAGAGAGACGGACAGAGAGAGAGAGAGAGAGAGATTATATACCTGCATCCCCTCGATTTCCCGGAGTGTCCGCACTCGGAACGTACCCGCTGCTGGCTTTGAGGAGGCAGGGTGTATTATTTCAAGACTCAAGTCGAGGTACAGACGCGTGGGGATTTAGGTGGGCTTCCTTGCCAACGCGGAGAGTGACAAGGAGAAAGAAAGAGAAAGGTACCTGCTGCTGACGCCATAGCGGCTGGCTTTGAGGAAACTGTGCATTATTTCAAGTTGCGGTATATGCTTGGCTCAAAAGCTGCGATTTCTTTGGGCACTCTGGTTGTGAGGGGTGGCACACTCGATCTCCATTGGTGAATAACTGCCATGAGAAAGTGGAAATCAGAGTAGTGGCCTGCAGTCGATGAGTACGGGTAGCATGAACTGTCCGAACTTGTGTTTGTGTGCAAGACTTCAGAGGCGGGGAAGCTCGGTAAACACTCATCTGACGTCAGTTGGCTCGGTGTAAAATAGCCCAACGGGTTTCTCTTGCTTCTTGAGCTCGCCCCTGGGGTGAGTAGGTATACAGTTCTGTCCTCCTGTTATACAGTTCTGTCCAGTGTCCTCCTGTGCTCGCCTGTACTGTTGCTGCCCGTCTCTCGGCGACGAGAGACCTGGGTTGAAAAGAAGCTCTGGAAACCTGACGATTTACTGGTCGCGAACACTCTATGGACAGAACACACAGTAAGTGTGGGTGAGCGGCAATGGAACTCGGAGCCGGGAGCAGACTGGAGAGGTGCAAAAAGGAAAAAAGTGGGGTGCAAGTTACCGCCGGTTGGTAGGAGTTGATCTGTGCAGGGAGCATGACTGACCGGTTTGAGTGCATGTGGGAGGTGTTGGGGTGGTCTACACAGCAGCCAGAGATGAGGGGTCACACTAAGCCGTAGCGGATACCCCCCCGCCCGACATCGGTACGAGCTCAAACTGGTGGATGGGCGGAGGTGGAGGGGGAGGGGGATCGGCTTCGTCGCCGTCGGGCCGGTGCGCTCGAAGTCTCCGCAATAAGGTCCCCATCGTCGTTCTTGGGCGGCTCGGGATCCTCAGCTGGGTCATTTGGGATTGGCAGATCCTCACCACTTGCGAACTCCAGCGGCTGCTTCTTGGCTGCGATCTCCTCCCTTCTTCGTGCCGCCTCGGGATCCTCCTCCTGAGGCTCTGCGCGATCCGCCTCTTCACCCAAAGTCTCCCACTCAGATTCCTCCTCTTCCTCCAACTGATCCTCTTCTTCTTCTTCTTCTTCTTCTTCTTCTTCTTCTTCTTCTTCTTCTTCTTCTTCTGCCGACTCTTCCTCGTTGTATTCGCTGTAGCTCCCTACTTCTTCTGAGGTTTCTTCGTCTTCTTCCTCGTTGTTTTCTTCCTCGTTCTCTTCTTCTTCTTCCTCTAGCGTCAGCCCTTCTTCCTTGAAGGCCGTTTGAGGCTGAAGAAGGCAAGGTCGATTATCCTCCGCGGGTCCAGGTATTCTCGTTGCGATGGCGGGTTGTTGTCACCTCCCTGCTCCTCGAGGCAGGCCGACCACTGTAGGTAAGGCGTCAGAGTTCATGAAAGGACATGTGGGACCGGACTTTCGTCACACTGCGAAAATGATATCGAGAGGGAGATCGTCGACCAGCTGCGCGAGGGGAATCGTGAGTTCCTGTACGATCAGCTGTCGATGGTCGGGCCGCACCGATCCGGATAGAAATCCGAGGAGGTCTCCTTCCAGCTCCGTCCTCCAAGCTTGGATGATCAGCAGCTCCACGTATTCGGTCCAGGCACGGTGTTCTATGTCCCTCGTCCACGTCAGCTGCACCCCGACCAAACACACCGAAAGATTGACGAAGTGTTCGCACCACAGTTCCCACTTTCTTCGATCAAGGAGGGGAACAACGAGTGGTTCCAGACGAAAGGAGAGGCGGTGACAAAGACTAGATTGCCAGAAGGTAGGGAAGAGAGATGGGAGAGCGAAGGTAGAGAGTTGGGAGCTGTTCATTGGGGGCGCTGGAAAGGGACGAGCTCAGGAAGCAAACCGACGGCTCGTGCCAAGACGTTCGGAGCCCTCCGACGTCGATGTCGTCCGTGGGGACAAGATTGTCGCCGTGGTGCGTAAGCCACTGATTCCACTCCGTTGCCAGCTGCTGGCCCCACTCCCTTAGCGACGTCCGGATGGTCGTGTGTCGCAGAGGGTTGATCGCGCTAATATCACCGATGAAGATGACGACGGTAGACACATGGCTAACTCCTGGAGCTGACAGTCGGCGAACAGCCAACGCCTCTGCCAACACGATCGCTTGACGATGGCCCATGAATCGGAACTCCGCCGCCTCGTACACCCTGGTGGTGCAGAAGAACTGCGCGAGTCGGATCAAATCTAGACTGAGCCGCGGATAACAAACTTGCCGAATCGCCGAAATGTCGCCGCGTGGCGCCAGCATGGGATCGCCGAGAGCTCGCTCAGTGAGAAAACTCATGGCGATGGCGATGGGGACGGGATATGAGAAGGGGCGAGAGATGCAGGAGGGGATGAAAGCGATAAAGAGTCGTCGTCCTCCTCTGTAGCGAAAGAGGACGCAAACGCAGCTAGAGATGGGGAGGAACGGAAGGGACGTAGATAGGACACGTGGCGGACGATCGGACGAGCCGATCGGCTTCCCGAGACCTCTGGCACGAGGCGCACGGTGTTCACCCCGTTCGGACCGAGTTTGATCACACGAAAGCGCACGAAGAATCGTGGCGCTATCTTCCCTTGGCGAGCACATTTCCTCACCTGCACCAGGTCCCCTAATTTATACTGGGGTCGTGGTCCTGCGTTTTTGGGCCTCTTAGCTACGGACCTGTCGGTCGTGGTCCAACTCAATCATTTTCTGGCGCTTTCTGGCTAATCGGGGAAGGGACCGTTCCATCAGCTCCATATGCCGCTTGGCCTTGTCCAGAACTGTGGCTCTTGTGGGCCGCCGGTTCAATGAAGATTTATCGGGAAGGCTCGGTATCGAGACACAAGCTACACTATTGGTTCGTAATTGGAAGGGGCTAAGGCCCGTCGATTCGTGAGGCGTTCCCCGATGGACCGCCAGGATGTGATCCACGATATCGGGCCAGGGCCTTGGGTCTCGTGCCACGATGTTTCGTCGCAATGTTGTCTTTATCACCCGATTTGCGTTTTCTACCAGACCGTTAGACTGTGACATGTGGGGTGCAGTGTTCCGAATGGCGATGCCATGTACGACCAAATTCCTTAAAACTTCCCCTCTGAATTCTACCCCATTGTCCGTCAGGATTTCCTCTGTGTCCTAATGCGTTCCTAAGAACCGGAGTGACGTATCGCACAATTTCAGCCGCCTGTCGCGTACGACACGGATATGCCTCAATCCATTTTGAGAAATGGTCCACAAATACTAGTAGGATTAAATACTTGCTGCTATTAGGTCTAGGGGGCACCACAATATCGGTAGCAAAGGTGGCAATTGGGTAACCGTTGCCCGTACCCGACCGCACCCAACTGTAACCGGCAGGTTATGGGCAGGTACGGGTACCCTTCCGGAGGGGGCCATCGGTATGGCCAAGCATAAATTTTATTTGTGGATTTCAGGGCAGGCACGGTTGCACTGCGTGGAGATCACGGGCAGGCATGGACGGGTACTGGCGGTGAAAAGGGAAAAACCGTAGGTATGGGCGGCCAAGAAAAAAAAAAAACATGGGTACAACCGTTATAGGGTGGTGAAAAAAAACAATCAGATGGGGATGGGCGAGTAACCAATTCTGTCGGGTAATTGTACGTAATATCCACCTTCCCCCCCTCTTCCCAGGAAATATGCAGACCGGCGGAGGTGTTTTTTTCTTAGGCAGAATTTTTTTCCCTGGTGCGAGCGACGAGAAAAAGATTTCAGGAAATAGCCTCCAAACTTCCAAATTGGCCACTTTCGAAATTGGAAGGCTCCAGCCTCGCCTCAGGAAGTTCCCCTTTGGAAATTGGCCGCCCGCCATGGTTGTATCCGCCGCCCTTCTGTGTGCATGCCACTACATGGCCATCATTTGCCTGCCGTGGTTGTACCCACTGCCGTTCTGTGTGTGCTGCATGGCAGAGAGAGAGAGAGAGAGAGAGAGAGAGAGAGAGAGAGAGAGAGAGAGAGAGAGAG